GGGGGGGGGGGGGGGGGGGGGGGGGGGGGGGGGGGGGGGGGCTCCGTGTTTTGCAAATGCCGTCAACAGTTTCCACACACCTTTATCTGTAGGGTGGCGTCCGTTCTTAGATCGATCACCACGGCCGGCCGCCACACTGATGCTGTCTGGTTTGTCTGTCAAGGCACGTCGAGGCGGGAGGAGAGGGCGAGGCGGAACGGCTCAGGAGATTGGTCAGCTAATCAGGGGAGGGCTAGGAGGGGTCAGGGGGGGACATGTCCCCGCAAGCTTTGGTGATTCCATCTTGAGTCGCTGTGGATCGGGAATGTATGCCGAGTTTTTTCGCTCTACAGGAAGCGATGTGCCGACGACCCTGGCGCCCCTGCCCCTGGGAGCTCGGGGCGGCGGCGGCGGTGGAATGCCCCGAAGGCGAAATTTTTCCAAGTCCTATACGTTGTTGTGCAATACACCTCTGGAGTAGTTCCGAGTCGGATTGTGTGCGAACTTCAAGCAGCCACACCCGTGCATGACGGTACCAGTGCTTGCTTCCGCCAACACAAATTCACGCTCCTGAGTAGACGGCTTGCCGCAGGACGCGGGGCCTACACCTAGAGCTAATGGAGCAAACCTGATGAGAGGATAGCAACAGGTTCCCGGAACTTCCTTGGATCCAAAATACCATCCGCGGGACCCCCGTGGATGACTGGCAAGTGACCGGTTTTTTTGTTTTTGTTTGTTTTTCTCCCATCATTGGACTCTGTCGTCTGCCCCTCTGGCCCCTATCCTCCACTTCTATTAGCTGAGGGGTGTCTCCTTCCGAATTGTCTGACCCGTTACGTGAGAACACTGAAAGGACGATTGTACGATATAAGATGCATGCCTACGCAAAGATATACTTCAAGACGGGTAGATGCACAATGTACGCTACTGCAGCCAGTGAGGGTACTTTATACCTACCGGCTGTGTAAACCATTTTCTACCGCGGAGTCATCACAACATGGTTAGACGAAGGGGCAGGGTATTGAATAGTCGTTCGTATCCATCGACGTACTAAATGGACTACAACAATCACAATTCAGGAGGGCAGCGGTGATGGCCACTTGGACGAACTGGAAGAAGGTATGTAGGGTTTGGCCAATACTGCAACTGCTGTAGATCGTCGTTGCTGTTCGAGATCTGAATCTCATGCGCCGAAAACCGCTTGCCAGAGGGGGATGAGATAAGACTCCTATCATATCTTATAAAATAGTACATGTAGCGGACAATTCCAATCATCTCCACACTCCGTCGTGCGGAGCGCTTGCACCCAAAGCACGCGAAGAGGACGAAACGCCTTAAACCCAGAGGCAGATAGCGATGAAAGGCTCATACCGTCTACCCCCGGACTCTGCGCGCGCGACTATATCGCACGCAGCAGCAACGGCCGTGAGTGTAGCGGTGCGAGGAAGGGGCCAAGAGCCTTTGCAAGTAGGTCGGTTGCGGATGCCGTCGCACGCGTACATATAATACTCAATCGTTTGTCACCCGATAGTCTAAGAACACGTCCAGGCAGTCCAGGCGCTGGCCGATCGTAGGTCTGGAAGCAGTATCCCACACCTCCTGCTGCTGTCGCTGCAGCTGGACGGTTGGCATCCCGCCCAAGGCAGATACGGACGGCGGCTCTGGTTCAGATCAGGTGGGCGCTTGACAGCAGTCAGTCTCGCTGTGGGTTGTTGGTCTGCTGTAGGGTCGTATGGACCGAAAACCAGGTCTTTTTCTCCGGGACCACGAGTTTCAAAATAAACTGACCACACCCTTCGCACAATCGATTACCTCCTGCGCCGGTAGTGACCGGGGGACGGGATCCTAAAGCAGGAATGAGGCACACAAAGCAGTACCCACGCCGAGAAAGAGCAGAGGGTACGGCGCGCCCATGGGGGTGCCGTGAGATAGAATTTGAAAGCTGGGACGGCGCTAGGACATTTCTCGGGAAAGATCTTTATTTCTCGCTTTTTTGCGCATATGCATGTGCTTATGTTGAAGATGTTCGTCATTAATATTTATTCGTGTTTACGCATACATGAGAGTGACCAGCCTGTGGTGTCAGTTGGAACGGCTAAAGAAGGTAAAATCGAGCAGCAGGCACCGGAACGTCGGCCTTAGAATTGTATCAAACAATCAGAAATCAGAAAGAACCTCTACGATGATGCATGCTACAAGAGTTGGCGTCCATTTGCAAGTTGCGCCGCGTCCAGAAAAAAAAAAATGTTGAAAGCACTTTACAGGGCACCAACCACGACTCATTCTCTCCTCGCGAAATATGCGGAGCTAGTAGAAGCAGAGAAAGAAGGCGGGCGAAGGAGCCAAAGGGGAGCCAGAGTTAGGAACTCCCAGCGTGGTGCAGGTAAGCCCTTGTCCTGTCCATTCAAACGCCGAGGGACCCTTTTTTTTGTGGTAGCAGGACAGGTACAAGGGGGGAAATGGAAAGAGAGCGCCAAGAACTCGGAGGTGTGGTACAACAAGGTCGAGGACGGGGCGGCATGGTTCATGAGGAAATGGCACAGGCAGGAGGCGGAAGCGTCCGCGAAGCGCCAGCGCGCGCGGGAAGCAGAAGCAGAGAGTACGACCATCTCAGGACCGAAGAGAAAGAGAACCGGCGAAGCGGCGGTGGGGGGGAAGAAACGGCGAACGGGCACTGCTGTAGAAGCGAGTAGGGCGGCCGAGGCAACGCTTGTGGCGAACTATGCACCCGGCTGATGTTGTTGCGCCCGGTTTCCCTCCCTGCCGTATGCTATACTCCTTTATGTATGTCCTTGTATTGCCTTCGGCCTCTGTGCTGTGTTTCTTTTTTTTTTTTATGACCTCCCTGCCTGCTCTGCTGTGTTGGGTACCTTGATCTCGCTTTGCTGTTGCCTTTGTTTTTTTGTACGGCTGGCTGTCTGCCCATCTGGCGCCTCTTTGCACTGTTTGCTCCGTTACTCCCATGCCCTGGTGCGCAGTGCCTGGTGCTGGTACGTTACGTTACCCTTTCATTTTTNNAAAAAAAGACATCGTAACAAATGCCCTATTATTATAAGGCCACTTGTTACGCTGTCTCTTTTTGGGCTGTCCCTTTTCTCAAAAAGGGACAAATGACCAAAAAGGGACAGGATGGGGTGATCTTTTTTCGCTGGCCCTTTTCGGGAGGTTCAAAAACGAAAAAAAAGACCACGTAACAAGTGGTTTTTGGTCAGTTGTCCCTTTTTGAGAAAAGGGACAGCCCAAAAAGAGACAGCGTAACAAGTGGCCTTATAATAATAGGGCATTTGTTACGATGTCTTTTTTTAGGCTTTTTTTAGGCTGTCTTTTTTTCGAAAAATGACAACTGGCCAAATGGCCCCGTGTAATAGGCTGTCGAATATGGTTTTGTTTTATTTTGATCGGTGTCCGAGGGCTCTTTTCTCGAACAGTAGGTGCGATACCTGTTCTTTTCTTTCTTTCGATCATTTTGTTTTCTTTTTCCGAGTGGTTTGTATCCTATTTTTGTTTTTTGTTTTCTCGCGGCGTCGTATGTGCCGGGTTTTGAGACCACGGGCTCCCCATTTTTTGTGGACTATAGAGCTAATGTGAGAAACAACAACAACAACAACAACCCATAGGCAGGTTGTCGGACGTCCTTTTGTCCGCTCTCACCCAGCTCGATCCCGCCAATCTGGTGTGCGGGGAAGGGATTGCATTTGTCGAGAGAGTGTTATCCCCGCCATGGAATGGCGAGCCTTGGGGTAAGAAGACCCAGCCTGGACTAGCTTGTCCCGTGCTGCTGACGAAGCGGCTTAAAGCCCGGCCTCTAAAAAAAGCCTGCTGTCTGTCAACTCTTGTCAGCTGGGATGAATCGGAAACTCCAACACACAAAGCCATGCGTATCACGCAGCAGCAGTCGCTAGTTGACGCCCAACCATCCACACAAGACAAAAAGCAACACAACAAAAAATGGCGGGGCAAACCTCCGCCCAACGGAACTACGAGGACCTTCGAAGTCTGTGCAGTTTGGATAGATTGCTGTGGCCCCTCTGGCCCGTCGTGGCTCGGCGACTTTTCCATGCCGCGCTTATCCTCGTATTCCATGGGTCCTTATGTGTCTAGCATACGACAGGGGAACAGGGCACGGCTTCAATCGTTAAAAGTTTTGCACGTTGTTCCAACAAGAAAGACTACCCGCTGTTCAAATTTCCCTTGGAGTCGTCACACACAAGAGAAAACCAACCACAGATCACGAGCGTGGTGATTTGCAGCCCTAGGAAGGGTTGGCTGTGCATGTGTATCATAAATAGTACGGTTAGTGCGGACGTCAGAAGCCAGAAAAACCAACGCGTGTTCCGAGAGCAACGGCAAGTTGTTTGGTGCTGAAAGGCAACTTGGAAGTGGGAGGCGTGTGTATTCTTGTTCGGACATTTTGGACACGCGTGTGCAGGTTGATCTCGGACCCGAGCAGTCTTCGTTCCCTTCCCACCGCCGCGCGCCGACTTTGTTTCCTGTCTCCATATTCCAATGAATCAATCGGTCCGTTTCATGGAGTCCTGCGGAACTCTTTCGGGGACTATCTTCACGACTGTCACGATTGGCGCTCCGACTACGTACTTTCGTTCCAGCCAACTACAGCAGCAGCGACGAACCCTCTTGTCCGATTCTAGTTCAACTGCAAAGAAACGTTGAACCCTTGAACGTTTTCAGCAACTCTTAGTTTCAGTCCGATATTCTAGTGCAATCCCGCAATCAACCAATCCAAGATGTTGTTAATGTTGAGCAGAAGTCGGCCCAATCAAATTCCACTTCCAACTCTGCAAACAACCCGACGTCAACGTTATCGTTAGCTCCTTGCGCACTCAAGTATACATACAGGCATCACTCACAACATTCCCAAGGCAGGGCTGCCCTGTGCATACCTGCCTCGACCACAACCACAGAGATCGCCCACTCCCCAACTCATGCGCCCCGGGCCTTCACTCTTTGGGAAGTCGTGCATGCGTACACATGACGGTGTCTTACAGCATGCGCAGCCTTAGCCTTTTTCTCCGCCGTACCGATAGGCCTAGGAAGAGAGCGAAAGAAGGCTACGTGCAAGACAGCACAAGCACAGGGGAGCAGCGGGAGGACCCGATTGTACCGAATCAAGAACTTGGCGAAGGTGAGCTTCCGTCCCGTCCCTACCCACGCTCACGGAGAGGGGTCTGCCCCACGGCAGGGTTGTAGAAAAGACTATGAAGAGCATTGTCGGGAACTGTGGCACTTGCCTCTCCCGGTGGTGGCCTGGTGCGGGGAGTAACCAATACGCACGTTCTTTCGAGGCTGCCGTACTACGTGGTGGCGTTGCTCACATGTTGTTCCCCTCCTGGAAGAACTGTGTTCTTTCGAGCCTGCTTGTGGTGTTGCCATCTCATCGTTCGTTCCCCTTCAGTTGTTGTTGGAGACTGCTGTGGTGGTTGCTGGTCTTCTGTCTCCCCTTCTGACCCCATATCGGGATCATACTGGGAAGGCCAGGAGCCCTGCATCGTAGATATCGTCCACCTCTTGTACTTGAAATAGTAGGAGTGACTTGACACTTGTATTGTCTGGTACTCCGCATTTGTACACCCACGAGCCCCGCTGTCTCCCGGCTGCTGTACATGTGCGAACCGCGGAGAAATCCCTCGCCCCCGCCTACACCACGACCCATGCCTGTGTACAGAATACCGGAATGTCGATGCTAGATGGTGTAGCATTCCCGCGGCACGGTTCACGGGTCCCACCCACGTTGTCCTGCAGTGTGTCATGCCTTACAATGGCAATGCGTGCAAAACAAGCGTTGATGTGCCCTTGACTGCGGGTCGAAGCAAAGCCAAAAAGCAGCCTTGGATTTGGTCAGCGTTGAACCGAAAGGATATTCGCCCGGCGAGCGCGTTTTTTTTTCGTTGAGACAAGATGCTGCACACCACATGGCAAGAAGACTGCACAAGCCAGAAATTGCTGTGATTGCTGAAGGCGTTATTTTTTGTGGAGGGTTCGACTCCATGGTCTTGCGCGCCACCCCAGGGACAAATGTTCCCAACGGAGCGCGTCAAACGTAACGAGGGGTCGGGACGATCTTAATTTGTTCATTTCAGTTCTTGTTGCGTATCTGCTTTTTTCATTCGTACTTAGTATCTGTTGTGTCTTGGACCCGTGAACAATTGGCGAGAAAAATTAAGAAATACTGCGTGATCGCTTGCCGTTTCCATCCCCAATACTTTTCGACCTCAAGCACGCTCTCGTCCCTTCAACACAATTGCGCTCCCGTTCACCGGAAGTGAACATTGCGGCAAATCATTTTTCGCCCCTGCGTCCATCCATGTCCGTGAAGTGCACGTTGCGGACCGATCCTTAATTCTAGTTGTGGTTCAAATGCAAGCGACCCTTCCATCGTGGAGAGCAAAACTTTCGACCTTCTTGAGGGTACTACCATATATGTAGTACGCCACCCGTTTCGGTGTTGGTATGGGCAGCGGACATTCCAAACTTGATGAAAGGCACTTCCCAGGATCAGCGAGCTACTTCGTTGTTGTTGAGGCAATGAGAGATTTGCCGAGATGGACGGCGCTGGGCAATTGATTTTTGGGAATACGGGGTATGGATACTGGCAGGAGGAGGGTGACGTACAATGGCCGTGCACACAAGCACGAGAAGACGTGGCCCCGAAAACAGCTACGGCGTCCCGCATGTGACAGCTCGTTTTTCAGTGTGGGCTCGGGCCACGGGGTTCATGCAATCCCGCCCGACCGCCGCAGTCGATCGGCTCATCGTCATCATCGTTTTTCTTGACAAACAGAACAAGGGGGGGGGGTATTGCACATCACTACATTAAAGAGCGACTGCGACATCTACCCGTCCGAAGGAAAGTCAACGGGTTGGGCGTCTCCTGACAACGGAGAGCGGAGAGGGGACACACGCCTGCTAGCCGTGCTTGCCTTTGTATACACCGCCCGAGAGAGCATGTATATGCCAGCAACATGGACAACAAAATACAGCCAAGACTATAATAACAGTTGGAAGTGCAACAGCGGAAGACTGTGCTGGGTCAACGGGCAATATCTCGCTTCCGGTTTGTCGTGAGCTATCAAACTTGAAGGAGAACATTTGAGTATTTTGCGACAAGTTGCTGGTGTTCGCCGATTTTTTTTGTGTGTGCCGTTTTCATATCCCAAGAGAGGGCCAAATCTTTATAAAGTCGAGTCCGACTTCGATTTCAGATTTCGAGTAGGCTCCACGCAAACACCCACGGTGGTGTATCGAAGTCGAAAATGGCAAACAACACGAAAACGGCCCTGAAAATGTCCGTTAGAATGATTCACACCATGACCACAAGAGACACAGGGCATCCCAGACAGCTAGCGGTAGTTCCGGACGTCGGCCGTGATCGTGCGGGTTGGAGGTCTCGCCTTTGCTGCGCACCGATGCGCGGCGAAGTCCAACATATGTCGTGCAAGTACTACGGTAGGATCAGGAAAACCGAAAACGCTACCGTTTACAAAGAACGATTTTTAACGTTGATGACTCTCAATTCAGAGCAGAAGTCGCTCAACAAGAGTATGCTGTGCTCTGCTCGATGCCAGCTTCATGCTGACATTGCTTGCAACGCGACCGGTCTGTAGGTGGCTACATCGATGAGGAGTGAAACGAACGGATTTCCGACTTCCAGAGAGTGTAGGCAAGCAGCTATACTATTGACTAAGAACTCTGATTTTCCCGTTCATGCTTCTCGATTTTCGATTTCAGTCTGCTCGCTGTCACAAGAAGAAGCGTTCGTCTAGGCCGTTCGGTCTCTGACGGAATTGCGACTCGTTGCGGCCGGTCGACGTAGCGAGGGAAATCAACGACCGTGACTTCCATCGGCCCCCCACTCGCCACGCATCACTCCCCGATGAAGCAATCAGAGCAGACGCGTGTATGACGCCCACACAAGCCGGCGGTGAACACAAAAGCCGCGCCCATGCTATGCCAGATTATTTGCGAAGCACATGCGGAAACGGGCACGCTTTTTTTCGTTGTACTTTCTGTGCCAAGTCACGACGCTGTTCGGTTTTTGGCTGGTTGCCGGAAGCACCGAGCCACACCCCGGCGGCGGTGTGTCGGTAGTCGGCCTGGGACGGTCGTCCACCCCCCCCGTGCTACGGGATGGCGCCTCCTTCTCGCAGGAATTGCGCCCCGAAAATGTAGTACGCGTGTAGTTCGTCATATATATTTTGTTACTGTGTCATCTCGGCACGGGCCCCTGTCATTATCGATCGCCGGCCTCTCGCATCCAGTTGCCAAACTCACATGGTGTTTGCCACGGCACTTTGAGCAACAGCAGCGGTTCCTGTATCAAGCGCCTCATAGTGCCAAGGATGTCGTGTCAGCCTGATGAGAATTCAGCGCGCGAGAAAACTTGAGTATCGTTGGTGTTTTTGTTGTTTCATTCGAGAAGTGCTGTAGCGTGCAACCTGAACGCCGACAACCCGGACCTGCGCCGGGGCCAGTTTTCGATTATAACCGTGAATCCGTGTTCGATCTCTCCGATGTCCTTGCAATTGCATCATTTCTGTGCGCTACATTCCGTTCTCACTGCCCCCCCCCTCCCCCTTGTCCGCGCGATTTCTTTCGTGGTACGCATACAGCAGATAGTTCCCCTGGTGTTGGTGACTCTCAAGACCCTCCACCCATGATGAACTCCATGCGCGAGACCGCCTCCCCAGAGCCCGAGGCCGGAAGGAGATCGACGAGTGTTGACCTGCTCTCCTCGGGCACCCTGGTGCCAACCATGTTCGGCGCGTCGCCGCCGCCGCCATCGTCTACGACAATATCGCCGTCGGCGTCCCTGGAGGCACCGCGTGCGGGCGCGGCGGCAGCGGTGCCGGCGACAACGGGAGCGTCTGCCGCAGCGACGCCCCCGACGCCGCCACCGCCGCCGCCGCGCCCGGCGGCGGCGATGCAGGGTTCCGCGAGCGCCGCCGCCGGGACGCCGCAGTGGCCGTGGCTGTTGCCTGACCGGGATGCGGCTGCTGATGCGGCAGAGGCGGCGGGCAACGAGACCGATCTTTTGCTCTCGTTCTCGCCCGCGGGGTCCCCGAGAACGAGCCCGATCGAACGAGGGAGAGCTTTGTCGGCGGTGCCGGCATCAGTGTCGCCGTCGGCCGCTACTTCCTCGCACCGAAGGGGATCATCGACGCCACCGCAGTTGGGGGTGCAGGAACAGCACCAGATGCTGAGGGGCTCGTTCTCGATACGAGAGGCGATGTTCGAGAGCGCCGCGGCGGCAGCACCAGCAGCTTCGCCGACCCGGGGCCCCGAACGGGAGTTATCGTTTTCGAGCCGGGACGCCCCGCGTCTGCCCTCGATCGGCGGCACTCACCCCGAACGCCTCGCCGCGGCAGAAGCGTCGGGGGCGGCAGCAGCCGCGGTGGAAGACGCGGAAGCAGCGGCGGGAGCGCAGGCGGCGGGTGAGGCTGCCACAGCGTCAGACTTCGCATCTGGCGGCGGGCGCGGGCGTGCGGGGGGGAGATCTCCGCGGCCTCGCCTGCACGGACGGCTGGACGCGACATCGGCGGCGGCGGCGGCGGCGGCGGCCGAACGCCCGCGAGCGGTCACCGCTCGGGGCGCGCCGCAGGATGAGTCTCTCACTGCGGAGCAGGCGCAGGCGATCATCGACGCGGCGGACATGGCGGCCGCTGAAGCGGTGGTCGCGGCTGCCGAGGCCCAAGAGGCGATCGCCGTCGCCACGGCCACGTCGCCGTCGAGGACGGCGTTGGGTATTGTGGTTGCGGCGGCGGCGGCTGGGACGGAAACGGGGACCGCGGCGGCGGCGGTTTCGCAGCGGGAGTCCGCCGTGCGGCGCACCTTGCGGATTATGACCGCCGACGACGGGGACGATGCGATGGCGGTGTCGGCGCCACCAGCGATAAGACGCGTGCAAGCGCCACCAGCGATAAGACGCGTGCAAGCGCCACCAGCGATAAGACGCGTGCAAGCGCCACCTCCTCAGCGAGCGGCGGCGACCCCCAGCGGCGGCGGTGGCGGCAGCGGTGGAGCGACCATGTCGGAAGAGGAGGAAGTGGCGGCGGCAGTGGCGGCGGTGGCGGAGCTGGAGGCGAGGGACCGGCTGAGTTTTGGCTCAGTGAACGTCGAAGTGGCAGGCCCGGTCGTCGAGCGGGGACGGGCGAAGAGCGGCGCGGGAGGAGCCGGAACTTTGAGGTGTGTTTCGCTAATGCTCAAAACTTGAACCGCCGTGGCGGAAGATTTTTTCCGCTCAACCTACAGACCATCCTCTCGTGTCCGCCGCATCGATTGATGGTTTGGTCTCCGTTAACAACGGCCACGCCAGAAGAAATGACCTGTTGTGTTCGCCGCCGCCGCGTTGGCGGGGCTGCTTTCCCTGGCGCGTGCGGCAGTTCGCCGTGGCCAGCGGTAGTTCGCCCAGCGAGGTTTGCAGTACCGTCGCTCTGATAATCCGCTTTCGTATCTGTTTGTTTTGTCGCGGCAGGTGTGCCCTGTGCATGTCCACCAACGTGTCAGTCGTGCATCCTCCTGGCGGCAACAACCGTGGGAACCGCAGCAGCAGCAGCAGCAACAAGAACTGCCGCAACTGCTGGAGAGTAGTGTGCGATGACTGCGTCGGGACGTTTTGGGCCAGGAACATGGTGCCGCCTCGCTACGCCTCTGAACGGTAGGTGTGCGCGAACACGCCGCCTGCCAGGACTAGTAGAGGCGATGTGTCGCGTTGAGTAGCGGTCGTGTTGTGGGTACGGCAGAAGCGGCTACGGCCGTTGAGAGAGGGTAGTCGGGACGAAGCCACAACGCATTATCTTGTCAATCCCGGTTCTCTGGGGTGTAGTCATACACACCAGTGTTGCTATTCCCCCCTCTTTCTTGTTTGGCGCAGCAAATGCAAGGATGATGACCAGCTTCTGGTTCATCCTTCCTGGCGAAACGTAGTTAAGGTAGCCTGAGTCGGCGAAAACCCCGGCATTTTGCTCCGTCCCGGCAGTGTATAGGAGTGCTAGGGATGCGAGCGAGGTCCATGCTCTGACGACCACCGCATGCGTTATTTACACGAGTAATACCCTCCCAACCCACGCGGGAGCATTCAACGACAAACATCGCGCTGTCGCATGTACCACTAGCGCTACGTACCACCACTCCCATGTTGCTGGATGTTTCGGAGTTGGCATGGAAACAGTGGCTGTGCCCTCCGCCCTCCGCGTCGGAGTGGCCATCGAACCGATAATCTTCTTGTCGCCCTACCGTCACCTGTCTTTCGGCGTGGTGCACATGCCATGTGCCCCGCTAGGGATTGTTTCCCTTCCCTCGTGACTCATGCATGCCCCAATGTTCCCCCCGCAGTGACGGTTTCAGGATGCGGGTTTGCAAGACCTGCAACGCGGCGATGGAGGCGTTCCGGACGGCGCTCCTCCTGGGGCGGGCGGAGGACGCCATGTCCGCCTATAGCACCGGCTGTGTTAACCTTGACCGCCCGTACACCGTCTTCCACGGCGAGGTGGGTGCCCGGAGACATGGCGCGGCGGCTGTGGGTGTCCCCGTTCTGGGTGGTTGTGCCCCACGCCGGTTCACCCGTAGCGGCCAACCTGCCCCTTTTGATATTTGATTTTGAGTCGACGTGGTTATCCTGTGCCGAGAGAAGTCAGTCTGCCGATATATCCACCCTCACTATCGCAGGCACTTGCCCTGTTCAAGTTAGACGTCGACATGATTATTCCACCTGCGCCCACAGAGTTCATTCTAACGGTTCACCCGCCCTGTTCGGGTTTTACGTCGACATGATTATTCTGGCGTCGCCGAGAGAATGCATGCTGCCGATTCACCCAGCTTATAGCAAGCACGCGCCAAAGTTTGCCGCCGACATGATCTTCAACATGTGGCAAAAGAGTTCACTCTGCCGATCCACCAGCTCTCCTCAAGTTCTTCGTCGACGTGATTACCGTGTAGACACAAGATAACACACACCCTTTGACCGATTTCCAAAGCTCGATTTCTCAATAGCAGGAGGAGTCGCAGCGCCCGAAAACGGCGGCGCTGGAACCGTCTCGTCGAGAGCATTTCAAATATGTATCATTTCGTTTATGCATCCTCTTCGTCGTGAAGTAATCGAGCTTTGAAAATCGGGCCAGGGGGTGTGTTATCTTGTGTCATATGCGGTATTCTTCCTCCTGTGCCAGCAGATTCACTCTTCCGATTCGCCCACCCTATAGCGGGCGCCCGCTCTGTTACATCGAGTTGATCATTCCACCGTTGCCATGAGAATTCACTCTGCCGATTCACCCAGCCTATGGCGAGCACCCGCCCTGTGCAAGGTTTCCGCCGACATGACGTTCTACTTGTGCCAAGCCAGTTCACTCTGCCGATCCACCAGCCGTGCTCAGGTGTTTCATGATTATGCTTCCTCCTGTGCCAACATAATTCACTTTTACGATTCGCCCACCCTATGGCGGGCGCCCGCTCTATATCAAGTTGATCATTCTACCGTTGCCATGAGAATTCACTCTGCCGGTTCACCCGCCCGATAGCATGCACCCGCTCTGGTCAAGCTGTGAGTCAACCGTGATCATTCTCAGTCGGCTTGTGCCAAGAGGATCACATGCTCGCCCGACTACCTGTCACTCGCCGTTTAGGTGAGGTCCCCTTTCACTCCTGTCCCCCCACCCTCTCCCGCGTGCTTTGCTTCCGCGCGACCGACCCGCCCTTGCGACCAGCTTCCCGTCCACTGCGCTGCAGCGGGTGGCAACGTGGGCCTCCTGTCTTGGCTGGTTGAGGAGCTGGGCTGCCCGATCTTCACGGACAGCGATAAAAAGGTGAGGGAGCTATCTTCCGTCGCCAAAACCCAGTGCCGGCCGCTTTGTGCTCTGGTGTCTCGGACGACCACGACGATAGGGTCGACGGCGTCGCAGCTTCTTTTGCGCGAACTTTGGAGGTGGGATGTCTTTGCCGGAGCGGGGCGGAATGGCCGTTGCTGGACTGGGGAACGACGTACCGCGGAAGCGAGATTTTGGTCCGAACATAGTCCTGTGAACGTGTGGCCTTGTACCTGCACGGCATGGGGATCGAGTGGCAAGAATCTATTTTACAAGCGATCGAAACTGCGGCGGTGCGACGATTTTTTCTTCAACGAAACATTTGATCGCAGGGTGTGCGATTTGCTGTCGTACGCCCAGGCACGATAAGTCCTTGCTCAACTCTTGGGTGCAGGAAGCAGAGCTGGGAAGTGTTTTCGATTTCAAGGGCGCAGAGGATAGATGCATTGGACAGCATGGGTTGGTTGATGCAACTCGACCGACATGTTACCAATCGACAACAGTATCGATACAAGCTTGACTATTTTTGATTTTGTCCGCGTTCTCTGTCGGTCTCTGCTTCGCCCCCCCCCCCCT